TAATCCATCTCGCATTAATGTTTTTATATGGTGAAGGATAGGGACCCAGTTTCATTCTTCTGCATGTGGTAGCCATTTTTCCCCAGCACCATTTGTTAAATAGAGTGTGCTTTTCTCATTGTTTATTATTGTCAGCTTTGTCAAAGATCAGTTGATTGTAGGTGTGTGGCCTTATTTCTGGGTTCTTTATTCTGTTCCATTGGTCTATGTATCTGTTTTTGTACCAGCACCATGCTGTTTTGGGTACTATAGCTTTGTAATATAGTTTGAAGTCAGGTAATTTGATGCCTATGAATTTTTTCTTTTGCTTGGGATTCCTTTGGCAATTTAGTTTGTGGTTTTTGGTTCCATATGAATTTTAGAATACTTTTTTCTAATTCTTTGAAAACTGTTGTTGGTAATTTGACAGGAATTGTGTTGGATCTGTAGATTGCTTTGGGTAGTATGCTTATTTTAATGATATTGATTCTTTCAGTACATGAGCATGGAATATTTCTCCATTAGTTTGTATCATGTATGATTTTTTCTGTCAATGTTTTGTAGATCCTTGTATGGATCTTTCACCTCTTTGATGAAATATACTCCTATGTATTTGTGTGTGTGTGTGTGTGTGTGTGTGTGTGTCTACTATAAATGGGATTGAGTTCTTGATTTGAGTCTCAACTTGAATGTGATTGGTGTGTAGAAATGCTACTGACTTTTGTACATTGATTTTTGTATCCGGAAAATTTACTGAAGTCATTCATCAGGTCTAGAGGTATATTTACGGTTTTGGAGGCATATTTAGGGTTTTCTAGCTATATACCCATGTAAGTTGACTTCCTCTTTTCCTATTTGGATGCCTTTTATTTCTTTCTCTTGCCCGATTGCTCTGGCTATGACTTCCACTACTATGTTGAATAGAAGTGGTGAGAGTAGACATTCTTGTCTGGAAACAAACTTTTGATAGGGCAAATATTGTATGATTCTACCTAAGTACTTATTACAGACAAATTCATAGTGACAGAAGGTAGATTATAGATTAACAGGTGGTTAACCTCTGTTAAACTATTGAAAGGGGAGAATGGGGAGTTATTGTTTAATGAGTTACAGAGTTCTGTTTAGATGATGAAAACGTTCTGGAAATAGATAGTGATGAAGTTTACACAACATTGCAAACATACTTAATGCCATTGAATTGTACACTTAAAATGGTAAATCTTATGTATATTTTATCAGTATACAAAAAAGGAACAAACTTTTGATATGTGCACCAACTTTGGATTTTAAGGTAGAAAAAGCCAGTCTCAAAGGTTATATGCTTTCTGATTGCTTTTATATAACATTCTTGAAATGATGAAATTATAGTGATGGAAAAAAGAATACTGTTTGCCAGGAGGGAAAGAAGTGGCTGTGATTATGACAGTGACATGAGGGATCCTTCTTATGGAACTGTTGACCATGATGGCCATAAGAATTTGAACATGTGACAAAACTGCGTATAACTGAATAAACACACAAATGACTACATGTTAAACTGACAAAATCTGAGTAGGGTAGGCCTTATTATGTCCATTTCTTATACTACAGATTTGCTAGTACACTGGGGAAATTCGTTGAAGAGTTTATAGTCTCTCTCTATATTACTCTTACAATACATGTGAATCCAAAATTATCTCAAAATAAAAAGTTTTTTAAAAATGGTAAGGGAAGCATGTGCCTACTATATATTGTTTCACTGACTTTTCACTTCACTCTTTGAGGTAGCTATCTTTACCTAAAAGGTACGAATAAGGAAAGTGGGACTTAGCTTAAAGCATTGGCTCTACTAGTTTGTTCCAATCTAACTCCCAAACTCACCTGAGGTGACTAGACTGGATGAGCCTCAGCTGGGCCTGGGCATAAACTGCTCCTCAGCCACCCCTTAGCAGCTTTCAGCACAACCCTCAATGGAGAAAACTAGAGCTGCTCCCAACTCTCTTCCCTGTCCAGACAAGTTGTTATAAACAACTTTGGTCTCAAGTCATTTGTTATTTGATGCATCATTGAGTCTTTTCATACAGTATCTGTTTGTCAACAATTTAAAATAAACGATTATTTTTCCTCAGAAATCTTAGACTCTTTCATCTTCTCCCCTTCCTGATTCTTCTCTGTTCCTCTCTGTTAACAATATAGTAGTACTTTAAGTTACTAACTTACAACAACCAAAACTCATTTATACTTATATACATACTACCTCTTCTGGATCTGTTTTATTTTCAAGCTTAATTGTGGAAGGACAGGTTTTGTTACACAAATGCAGGATCGTCACTTGATGTGGGCAGATTCTTACTGCCTTTCTCCATTTCCATCCTTCCTACCTCACTACATAGATTGGCCATACTGTTTATACATGTTGTATCTGCCCCTGTTGTTTTTTCATAGCTCCCATTTTCTCTATCGGAAGTGTCCTGGTTTGAATGATAAATTACATGATTATCCACCCAAAAAGTCATTGATCTGACTTCTTTCACATCAAGAAAGAAAAAAGATTAAATATAACTTAAAGTCTACTTTATAAATCTTTAGCCACATATCTTGTTTGGTTGACTTACTTGGTTTTCAGAAGCAGAGATTGAGTCAGATTACCTCAGGAAAAAGAGGATTTATTTTAATGATACAGTGGCACTTGAATTTCAGCCAAAGGCAGCTTTAGGGACCAAGCTATACTCTTCATCTTTCTCTCCAAAGTCACCTGATCTTTCTCTCTAATTACCTGCTTTTAGTGTGTGTGCTTGCTATGTTTTCTCATTATTGCCTACCTTTTTTTACCTATTGATATTTTCTTATTCTAAATTCAATATTTATATCATAGTGATCCTTTTTGCCTTTCTAAAGGTCAGAGGTTCTTAACTTGGGATCCACGAATGCTTCCAGAATACCCCCACACTAAAAAATATGTTTACACATGTGTAATTTTTCCTAGGAGAGGGTCTATAGTGTTAAACAATCTCCAAAAAGTCTAAGACATTAATAACTTTTCCTTTTCTGTTCTTATTGATAACTAGCATTGAATCTTTAAAGTTCAGTTCCTAAGAAAGAGGCTCTGGCACAGCTCATCTTTTTCTACCAGGTTACCAATCATCTACTACAGTATGGATTAACTAACCTTATGTCAGATGCAATCTCCTGATCTAATTATCTCTGTATGATTAGATATGCTGCTTATACAGTAAAACTCATGAATGTTATTTAAAAAGATCCATGGGAGTCTGGGAACAATAAGTGGCATTACCAGCATACTTTATTAAATAAGTATTTATTTAATACATATCTCTGGGCAGGACATCATGACTTGATCTGTGAAATAAACAGAGGAATTAAGAATCTTGGCCTCAAACAAATGGAAACAATCCAGATGTTCAGCACCTGATGAGTAGATAATGTTCATGAAATTGAATATTATTTGGCAATAAAAAGGAGTGAAGTATTAATACATGCTGCAACATGGATGACCCTTGAAAACATTATGCAAAATGAAGGAAACCAGTCACAAAAGAGTGTGTCTTGTATGATTTCATTTATATGAAATGTCCAGAATAAGCAAATATATAAAGACAGAAAGTAGTTTAGTAGTTGCCTATGACTTAAGGAGGTGTAGGGAGCACGTGGACTGACTTATAACAGGCGTAGGGTTTCTTTTTGATGTGATGAAAATATCCTAAACTGTGGTGATGGTTGCACAACTCTGTGACTATAGTAATGATTGAATTGTATGCTTTACATAGATGAATTTTATGATGTGTGAATTATACTTAGTAAAGCTGTTAAGGAAAAATAATGCTGGCCTCAAAAAATTTATAGTCTGTAGGAGTATTAATATATACAAATAATTATAAATTGAAAGTAGAAAGTGGTTGTAAGAGCTATTTTAAAAATAAGAGTCTATAACATGTCTATACATATTGGTCATGTGACTCAACTTTAATTCTCTGACAGAGATGAAGTATTTATGGGAAGAGGATATGAATAGATGGGTTAGAGATTAGATATTTCATGAGAGGAGCAGAACTTGAATTAGAGCATGAAGCAATAACTATTTTTTTGTTTAAAAAAGGAAGGGCATTCCAGGGCAAGAGAACATTGAGAGTTCCAAAGCTGTCTGACACTTTATTGTTACAAATACGAGCCAGAAAATGAAGCAAGAAATTGACCTTGACTAGAATATTATTCACTTTAATGTATTTAATGCTTGAATGACTTTGTACCCTGGATTTTCCATAACAGCTCCAATTCAAATACTCCTTTCTTCTCCCATAAGCACTAGATGTTGAAAAGCACTTGCTGAACCTGGAGAGGGCACATTTTAAATGTTTATCAAAAAATTATACTTCTTCAATAGTTCATGTAAACCAGTAGACAAGCAAGGCCTATCTTTAATGCCATACAAGTACATTAGAATTGATGTCTGCCAATTTTCATGTTGACATTGGAATACAATTAAATACATATTTTTGAGCTATTCAAATTTAATTATTTAAATTACAAAATGAAGCTGGGGCATTATGAAGTATTTTAGGTTGGTGCAAAAAGTAATTGCAGTTTTTTGCCATAATACTACTTACCGCATCCTTCCCAGAAAAAGGGCACAACTAAAGCCTCTATATGTGCCTGACATTGTAATCATAGCATGCATTATTAAGAACATATGTAGCTATTAATTTTTTTAAAGTATGCAGTGTAAAGAGATGATTATGCAACCTCTTTTGCTAATTTGGGCTGCTTTGCTGGAGAATATTAAAATATCCTGGAATTTCAGTATGTTGGCATCTAAACTGTCTTGCAGATTGCATGAAACAAAGGATACATGGCTATGAAGAGAAAATATTTTGGATAACATGGTATGCATTATTATAGATGTTTACTTTATAAAAGCAGCTTATAAATCTGGTGTTTTAACATTTATAAAAATAAGAATTTACCAGGTATTTTAAACAGTTAGATTCTGTAGTTTAATAACCACTTTAATTAATATGTTTCAGTTCTGGAGGTGGTTTTTGGCAAACCTGGCTTCTGGCGGAGCTGCTGGGGCAACATCCTTATGTGTGGTATATCCTCTAGATTTTGCCCGAACCAGATTAGGTGTCGATATTGGAAAAGGTATGAGATTTTTAGAAATACTAACTTTTCCTTTTTTGTATTTTGAACCATGTGTTATTTATTGTCATTAATTGTGCTGTAATAGTGTTACTAGATAAAGTCTACAAACTTTACTCTTAACCAAATGGTAGAATCATAGGGCCTGAAGTATATTACTTGCTTCTTTTCCCTTACAAAAAAGGAGGGAAAGCCTGTTGTAACAAAAAAGTGAACATAAAAACTGCTTATAACTTAGTCTCTTTTTTTTTTTCCTAGAAAGCCCTTCCTAGATTTTCCCATGCATTTACTCCTGTCTCAGCTGTTACTCCTTTCTAGGTTAGATGCACAAATCTCATCCTCGAGATTCCCTTTGCCTCTATCCTTACTTAAATATCACATCTTCCCTTTTTTGTTGTTATACCCCTTTTTTTTTTTAAGATTTGTATTTTTTTGGTAGAGTATGTTCTTTGGTAACTTTTTGAGAAAGAGTGAAAAAAAAATAAATTGAGCTCTTACAAATCTTAAAAAAAAAAAGTATTTGTCTTATTCTCTTGAAAAGGGTAGGACATATATAAAATCTGAGTTTAAAATTATTTTCCTTCACAATTATAAAAATATTACCCTGATATCTGGTTTCTAATGTTGCTCTTAAGATACCAATTCTCTTACTCTGGATCCTTTAGTATATGTTTTTTCTTTTTAGTTAGTACTATCCCTGATGATCTTATATTTCACAGTAATAGACTTTTATGTGAGTCTTTTTTCAGTGTTAGCCAGTCAGCTGGCCCAGTTAAATCTGGAGCCTTGTATTCAGTTCTGTGGGTGGCAGCACAATAAGTCATTTGGCTGCTCAGGGTGAGGTTGTAGATATTGAGCATCTACTTGCTCCTTTGCTTTCATCCTGGAAATAGTAGTTAGTTCCTCTAATTTCTAAGTCTTTCTGAGGTTATTGTGGTCAAATGGCTTGCTTCCCAACAGTATCTTCCTCTGTAAGGAAATAGGTTCAGTTTTTTCTGCTCTATTTGGTGAGTTACCACTCCTCCCTATTCTCTCCATCTGGCTAAATTTTGTGGATTTCATTCTGTCAGGTACTCTTCTTGGCCTATCTGGCTTTAAACCTGTTTTATTTCATTATTAATGTAATCGAGTTTCTTCAGGGAACAGAGATTCATTCACCAAATATTGAGTGCCTTCTGGAATATAGGGTGCCTGCAGATACAGGGTGTGTGTGAGTGTGTATACGTGTATATATATGCACACAGATATTCACATTCCACCCCCCCCATATAAGACATAGTGCTCATGCCTCATGTACTTTCTATAGTCTAGTGGAGGACACAAGTAATAATAAATGAATAAATAACTAAAATATATTGCCTCTTAATGATAAATGCTAGGGAAATGAAAAGAGAGTAATACCAATTTTAAATAAATAATCAGAAAATGTCTTGGAAGGGGCAGCGGTTTGAGCAAAGAAGAAAATGTGAGTTTCATCTATTATATTTAACTAGAAGTTGAAATTTTATTTTTGTTGATAAGAGGGTGAAAATAATATTACCTTGTTGTAAGTTTTATAGTTTTGTTTTCTCTTTCAAATCAGGTGGATTTAGTTCATTTTTGAAAGATTACATTGTACATATATAATAGTTTTAAAACATTGTCAAAGAATTCTTGGTCAAGGAAAACAAAAATAAAACCAGAAAATACTAGAAAAATATGATCCCGTCATCTGAAATATTAACTATCCTAAACTTAACTAGATTTTAGCTTTATCTTTTTGTTTTACAACAGTCCTAGAGTTTTTCATTCCTTTTCTTTCTTTCTTTCCTTTTTTTTTTTTTTTTTTTGAGACAGACTCTCATTCTGTCACCCAGGCTGGAGTGCAGTGGCGTGATCTCAGCTCACTACACGCTCTGTCTCCCAAGTTCAAGCAATTCTCCTGCCTCAGCCTCTTGAGTAGCTGGGATTACAGGCGCCCACCACCATGCCTGGCTAATTTTGTATTTTTAGTTGAGATAGGGTTTCACCATATTGACCAAGCTGGTCTTGAATTCCTGATCTTGTGATCTACCCACCTTGGCCTCCCAAAGTGCTGGGATTACAGGCATGAGTCACCACGCCTGGCCGAATTTTTCGTTTCTAAGTGTTTTTTGTTTGTTTGTTTGTTTTTGTTTTTAATAGAGACAGGGTCTTACTCTGTTGCCCAGGCTGGAGTACAGTGGCATAATCATAGCTCAATGAAACCACCATCTCCTAGTCTCAAGTGATCCTCCTGCCTCAGCCTCCTGGCTAATTTTTTTTTATTTTTTGTAGTGGCAGGGTCTCACTACGTTGCACAAGCTGGTCTGGAACTCCTGGCCTCAAGCAGTCCTTCTGCCTTGGCTTCACAAAGCACTGGAATTATAGGCGTGAACCATCTCACCTGGCCCATTTCAAAGTATTTTCTGAACCTCAATTAGTAACTTCTGGTAACTTTAGTAAAATATTTTAAGGCAGGTTGTTTGAAATAAATTGTTTGCATAAGAGATTAATATTTTCCATTAATTTCTTTTGAGATATTACTTGAAATCTTGGTTATCTGTAAAATAATGGAAGAATTTTGATTTGTGCCTTCTTTGTTAGATTCGTAAGTGGAAATTTCAGATTATTTAGATCTGTAAATATTGATTAAAGTGTTTATTGGATATATAATGTTGCTAATAGATTTTAAATGGCTTTATTTTAGGTCCTGAAGAGCGACAATTCAAGGGTTTAGGTGACTGTATTATGAAAATAGCAAAATCAGATGGAATTCCTGGTTTATACCGAGGGTTTGGTGTTTCAGTACAGGGCATCATTGTGTACCGAGCCTCTTATTTTGGAGCTTATGACACAGTTAAGGTAATCTGGGGGATTAACTTGGACATATTTCATAAATTTTAAATTAATAATATTTTCAGCAGATATGTTACTTTTAATTATAAAAATAAAAATCAGTGATGAAATAAGAGAGACATGAAATTCCCTTAATCATGATTTTGCCATAACCTAATTAAATTATAACTGTAGTATGGATCTGACTTTAGTTATAAAGCATGTATCTAAGCTTTTGAGGTGTTTTCACTGTATATCACGTTGCCAATGAAAAACATGCTAATTAAGCTTACATCATAATCAAATTGTTGGTATATGGAAAGGCATCTTCTAACAGTTTTTCTGATTTTATATTAACCCTATTACCACTTTTTTGTATGCAAATAATTAAATACTTTCATTTTGGGAAGTAGGCAAAGCACAATTAATTAAATGCTACTATAGCTTAGTTATCTACTGGATACTGTTCGATTCTGTGTTGTATTCTCCAGGTTTTCTGCAATTTACCTTTTAATTTCAGACATTAAGAATACTTCCATGTGGTAGGAAAAAGAAAAATTGTAATAATGGCTACCAATTTTTAGCTATTACTTAGTTCTAGAAATCTTTTTTAAGTGCTTTACATCTTAAATCTCAGAAATCACCAGTTAAGAACTTACCCATGTAACCAAAACACCACCTGTTTCCCAAAAACCTATTGAAATAAAAGAAAATAAAGATACTTCTAATTGTTTAAAATAAATAATAAAAAATCCCCCCCACTTTGTTTAAAGATAAATAGCTAGGAATAGTTAAGTGATTGACTTGTTAAAGGCAAGCCAAAAAATCCTTGTTCCTAATAACTACATTATAATGCTTCCATAAAGAAGCAATGAAATTAACATCAGTATTATTTATTAAGTAAGATTAAAACTTGGGAGACATTTTATAATTGATTTATATATTATCTCTGGCCTCCCTCATTAGTATATATGTAGTTGAATATCATTTTTATTGTGGTCTGGACAGATCAGTTTTTAGTGTATTTTTTAGACTGCTATGTTAGTGGAAATTACAGGATTCATACATTAATCACAGATAAGTTATGTGTGTACTGTCTCTGTTTTTCTTTGTAATCGCCTGCAGGAGTTGCAAAATTTAGGAACATTTTTCCATTAACTTAAAGTTTTAAAGCTGCTCATCAAATATGTGTTGATGATAAAAGCAAGCATTCTTTCACTTTTTTTCAACCCCACAAGGAAGAGCCATGTAAGAACTTCTTTTTGTCGATGAATGCTATCTTCCCTAGTTTTATGTGCCATTAATAACAAATCTTATAATGGAAAATATGCTTTATGTTTTTCAAATATACTTTCGAAATATAGTCATGTGTGGCATTCCACTTTTTATTGATCTGCTACTATTAAATCCCACTATTTTATTGCATTTTAAGTCTAATTGGGCCCTCTTTCATATATTTATAAAAATTATCCTTTAACTTAAGAATTTAGGATATTTTAGAAATTTGGATAGTTACTTGATACATTTTTCTTTTCTAGGGTTTATTACCAAAGCCAAAGAAAACTCCATTTCTTGTCTCCTTTTTCATTGCTCAAGTTGTGACTACATGCTCTGGAATACTTTCTTATCCCTTTGACACAGTTAGAAGACGTATGATGATGCAGGTATTTTATGTTATCATTTCTAAGCTTAGTTGAGTTTTTAATATCTCTGATAATTTAGGTATAATCAAATTTAAGAGAAATTTTGGCTGAAAGGCATAGGTCATTTGTTTTACTTAGCTAAAATAAATACATGATATATTTTGTCTTATATTCTTTCCTATCCTAAAATAACCATCAGCCAGAAAAGCTGCTTCCTCACCTGCCATCAAAACAGAAATGCCTGCTATTCCTGTAGCATATATGGCTTGGAAGGTAGAGGGTTATGGCAGAAATTGGATGAGTATGTCTATCTTAACTGAAATGTTAAATAGAATAAGCCCAGTCACAGGCCATTGAAATATTTCATTATTTACGGTAGAATATTTTTATGAAAGTAAATAATTTTGAACTGCAAGGACAAAAACTTGTTTGTAATGATTTATGTTCTAAATAGAAGTCCCTAAACCAAATTTTTTATATATTTGATCTCTATTGTTATTACTAGTTGACCATCCCAAATCTGAAAATCCTAAATCCAGAACACCCCAAAATTCAAAATGTTTTGAGCACCAACATGATGCTCAAGGGAAATGCCCATTGGAGCTTTTTGGATTTCAGATGCTCAGCTGGTTAAGTATATAAAGCAGATATTTCAAAATCTGAAAAAATTCTAAACATTTCTAGTTCCAAGCATTTCAGATAAGGGATACCACCTGTACTTATTACATTCATTCATTCAGCAAATATTTGCCTGCTTAATCTATGCTAAGCTCCAGTGACAGAAAAACACAAAATCTGCACCCAAATTCATAGTCTAATACTGAAGACAACAGCTAATGGTTTAAATAGAAATATGTGTAAGTTCCAGCAATACATAAGGAGGGTTGCCCAAATGCTTAAAATGGTCAGATGTGGCCTCCTAGAGAGCTGAACCTCAGTGAATAGGCTTACATCAGCCAGTGAGAGAATATTCTAAGCACAGGGGGAAAATCATACACAGAGATATGGCTAAAGAAGTAGTTCTGTATAGCCAGGTCATAAGTTTTATGAGGGCAAGTGACTTTTTCATTAAATTCTCAAAACAATAAGGTGTAGTTACTATCATGATCCTCATTTTTATTGACTACAGAATGGTCCTAGAAGGACCAGTGGGAAATCTGGCAGGATAAAACTAACCTGTTACTTCACTTAGGGATAATACTTAGAATTATTCCATTTATGTCTTTATTTCTTCTCTTGTGTTTTATGTCTTTGTTTCTTCTCTTGTGTTTTAGCACATTGAGAAACTTTTTTAAATGGAAAATTTGCATATACACTATAGATTGGGTCAATGGTATTAAATTTCCTGAATTTGATAACCGCACTTTGGATATGTAAGAAAATATCCTAATATTTAGAAAATACACACTGATGTGTTTTAGGATAAAGAGCATGATGTCTACATCCTAATCCCACAATATTACAGGGAAAAAAATGTGGGAATGTGGGTCGTGTGTGTGTGTGTGTGTGTGTGTGTGTGTATTAGTTTGCTAGGGTTGCTATAGCTCACAAAAGTGGTTGGCTTAAACAAATTTATTTTCTCATAATTCTGAAGGCTACCAGTTTGAGATCAAGATGTCAGCAGACTTAGTTTCCTCTGAAGACTTCTCTCCTTGTCTTGTAAATGGCTATCTTCTCCCTGGGCTTACAGAGTTCTTTCTCTGTTCCTTTTTATAAGGACAGTCACATTGGCTTAGTGTTCACTCTTGGGATCTCATTTAATCCTAATTACCTTTAAAGCCCCTATCTCCAAATACATTCTGAGGTACTGGGGGTTAGGACTTCAACATATGATTTTCATAATTCAAGCCTATAAAGTACTACTTAATGTTTGTATTTTTATTTTATATCCCACAACTTTGTTAGCCCTATTACAAACACGAATGTGCATGTACATACCTTCCAGGTTTTTATTTACACAAACAGGCATATAATCTGCAACTAATATCAGGATTTTTTTCCTTCCTTATCAGTTACACCTTTTATTTCTCTTTCTTGCCTTTCTGTACTCACTGAGACCCCTAATTCCATGTTATATTTACAAAGTAGTAACTGGCAACCTTGTCTTATTCCTAATTGTACAGAAAATGCCTTCAATGTTATATAATTTAATGTTAACTATGGGGTTGTTTTGTTGTTATCCTTTATCATGTAATGACAGTTCCTTTCTGTTCCTGGATTTTAACAATTTTTAATTACGAATGGTGGTCGTGTTCTTTCTATATCTGCTGAGATGATTAAATCTTTTTTCTTTTAATATGTTTACATATTGTGTTAATCTATTTTCTAGAGCTAAATCTTATATACCTGGGATAAACTCAGTTTCTAAGTATTGTATTCTGTAGCCCTTGCTAGTTTTGCTTTCAGGGTTTTGTTCAGGATTTTTGCATCCATGTTTCAAAGACATTGGCTTGTATTTTTCCTTCTTCTATGGCTCTAGTATGACTTCAGTAGCAAGGCTGTGCAAGCCTCATAAAATACGTTGAGGAGTCGTCCCACTTTTTCTCTTCTCTAGAATAAACTCTGTAAAATTGGAATTAAATGTTCATTAAATGTTTTGAACTCACATTTTAAGCCATTTGAACATGTGGTTTTCTTTATGAGAAGATTTTCAACAACTGATTGAATTTTTAACTATAGTACTATTCCAGTTCTTTTCTACTCTGTTGGTAAATTATGCTTTTCTAGGAATTTATCCATTTCTTATGACTTTTAAAAATACTTGTAGTGAAGTTTTTGTAATATAATCTTGCTCTTAAATTTCTGGATCATTTTTTGTTACCTTTGCCATTTCTGATAATCTTAGGGCTTTTTCTCTTTTTTCCTCAAATAGTATTTCCAAACTTTGTCAGCCAAGTATTTCAAAGACCTAACTTTGGACTCTTTTTGTGCTGTTGTTGTGCTGTGTGTTTTCTAGTTCCTTCATTTCTGCCAGTTATTTTCTTGTTTTTACTTTCTTTAGGTTTATACTTTGTCTAAAAATATTTAGGTTGCTCATTAATTTTTAGGCTTTTTCTAATATTTCAAGGTCATTAATTTCCTCATAATTTACGTAACATTCAAGCTGCATCTTACAAATTTAGCTAAGGAGTTTTGTAGTTATCATTTGGTTTTCAATATTTTCTAAGAAGTGTTTTTTTAACATTCAAACATACTATTTTTTTGTTTTGTTTTTTTGAGAAGGAGTCTTACTCTGTTACACAGGCTGGAGCACAAAGATCATGGCTCACTGAAACCTTGACCTCCTAGGCTCAGGTGATCCTCCCACCTCAGCCTCCCAGGTAGCTGGGACCACAGGCATGTGCTAGCACTCCCAGCTAATTTTTTGTTTTTGTATAGATGGTGTTTTGCCATGTTGCCCAGGTTGGTCTCAAACTCTTGGGCTCAAGTGATCTTCCCGCCTCGGCCTCCCAAAGTACTGAGACTACAGGCATGAGCCACTGTGCCCAGCCCATATGATATTTGTCTATTTTGCTATTGATTTCTCAGTTAATTGCAGTGCAGTGAGAGAATAAATCATGGTCTACATGATGACATCCTTTGACATTTGTTACACCTAACGTGTGGTCAGTTTTCAAGTGTGCCTGAAAAGTATGAATGGTCTCTAACCACTAGGGACAATAGTCATATATGCCTATTAACACAATGCTACTCAACACAGTGTTTATCTTGCCTATTAACACAATGCTACTCAACACAGTGTTTATCTTATCTATCCTTAGTGCTAATAGAAGAATATCTTAAGATAAAAGATACTAATATAATGAAGAATGCTTTGTCTTTATACAGAGTGGTGAGGCCGAACGGCAATATAAAGGAACCTTAGACTGCTTTGTGAAGATATACCAACATGAGGGTATCAATTCCTTTTTTCGTGGTGCCTTCTCCAATATCCTTCGTGGTACAGGGGGTGCTTTGGTGTTGGTATTATATGATAAAATTAAAGAATTCTTTAATATTGATATTGGTGGTAGTTCATAGGGAGAGTAAATTAAGAAATACATGGATTTAACTTAAACATACAAATTACATAGCTGCCATTTGCATACATTTTGATAGTGTGTTATTGTCTGTATTTTGTTAAAGTGCTAGTTCTGCAATAAAGCATATATTTTTTTCAAGGATTTAAATACTAAATATCAGATTCCCACTTAGACTCAAACACATTTTAATGTGATATTTCATTTATTATAGGTAGTGTATTTTGTTAGTTTAAAATTCTTTTATGATTAAAAATTAAAATGTATAATGCTGAAATCTAAGAAATGAAAGTATCTTCTTTTAAATAGCTATTCATTTAATATACCTGTTTTCCCATCTTTTAAAATCATATGGTATGACAAATATTTCTTAAAAGCTTATCAAGAGATGTCATCATATCTGTAGGCACAAATAAGCTTTGTTCTGTATCTCTTCTAAGACAGCAAAGCTATTACTGTATATAGTATTTACAGTATCAGTTAGCCTTTGATTATAGATGTGATCATTTAAAGATTTGATAATGATTTCAGTGACATTATAAAACTGAAACTGGAAAATAAAAATGGCTTATCTGCTGATGTTTGTCTTTGAAATAAATAAAATCTTGCTAGTGTGAATATATCTTAGAACAAAAAATATCCCCTTGAAAATTAGTTTGTATATTTTGTTGACAATAAAGGAAGTTTAAAACTGTTATAAAGGAGTCTTTTTTTCCCTTACTCTAACTGTATTAGTAAGCAGAGTATAGCAAAATTTTTGTCAGGACTGGCTTAACAACAAAGAACAAAAGGTATTTCTCAATGGACAGATATAAACAGCATTCCAAGGATTTGTATAGGAGTTTGTCTTGTTTTTTAAAGCTGTTGTAGAATACAGTATATTTGAAATCCCCAAGGTTTTAATGTTTTAGTAAGTAAAAGGATGTTAAACTAGTGGAGATAAAATATAGACAGATTTTGTGAGGCTGTGAATGGGCAAAATGAGGTAGGTGAACTTCCTTATGCACAGGGACAAAGCATATTTCAAGGACAATAATACAGACTATACTTTTAAATACAGTATATTGGTGTTATCACTCGAGTATAAAAAAATTCAAACTCTAAACATCATTTCTTGTAGTGGTCAACATAACACAGGAATTATAGGAACAAAATAGAAAATATTTTCCTTTCCTTCTACACTATCAAATGTGGTTAAAATAACCAAATATGAGGAGTAGTTTTCCATATAAACAGCAAGATAATATAAAAGTTTTCAATTTATACAGAGACATGCATAGAGGAAAAAAAGTCTCTCCATTCTAAATGACATGGGTAGAGGGCAAACAGGAATTTAATCTTTAAATTGCCAGACAAAAATTCTATTCTTTGAAGCCTAAAAGATGTATGTAGTTGGGGCAAAAGAAAGTGAAAATGTTACTTAATATCCTGGACAGAGATAAAACTACATTAAACTGTTATTAATGAGAGACAATTTATAGTGAGCAAAATCATAACACAATTATATAAAGAAATGATTTTTTAAAATCTTAACATTGGAAAATGAATAGTTAAAATATAAAATGTGTACAGTTTTTATCTTAAATGACTAGTGCTGCATCTTTGTTTCTGTAAAAGAGAGCTGGAATACTGCATTTTTTACAGTGTCATATTAGATAGGATTTCTAATTTCCTACCCTAAAACTATCTCCTCAAATAATACCTAAAATTCCATTCTCCAAGCTTCATTCTCTTAATTCATCTTTTTTAATTCATTAAAATACATCCTTCATAAAACAAGATGACCTTTTAAGTTTGTAGTCATTTTTACTGAAACTACATTTATTTTGGTGAATTTTACATTGTTTTCTCACAGCAGGTTATGCTAGAGAAAGTGGAGCGGGGAATGAAAATAACAGACAAGACATTCTCTGGATAGTAAGAGGCTAAAAGTCCCTGAAGAAATTTTTGCTATTTTATATTCCTACTCTAGATTGATGCTTTCTAGTAAAAATTAGAACTTTGGTACCCTCATATTAAATTTTCTGAAATAGTTCCTTTGTTCACCTATAAACATTATGCTACACAAGTAAGTAATTGATACCTTCATTCCTCATTAACTAATAGACCTAAATGTAGATTCAGAAGGGCTACTTTTCTTCCACCACCTCTTAAATGTTAATATTCTCCAGGGGCCAGTCCTTTGCTCTTTTCTCACTTTATAAATGGTAGATTGTGCTGACACATGCCCCTCCCTCACAAGAACATGCTGGATAAAATATATCCAAAAAGAATTGGTTTGGATTTGTATTGTTTTAAATAGGGAACTAGCATATCAAGAGGTGTCAAAAATAAGATACTCAAGGCCAGGAGAAACTGGGAGCTAATCTTGTAGCAGTCCACAGATTTCAGAAAGAAATAGACATTAAAGGTGAATTTGACACCCACATATGTAGACGGGAGTTAAGGAATTTGGACCCTGGTAGACTAGGCAGCTGAAACTGAAATATACCATGCCCACCAACCACACAAACTGTCCAATAAAGCTACAAATGTGGGTCCAGATGCGAAGCAGGCATCTGGTTTGAGGCCAGGAGTTCAAGACCAGCCTGGGCAACATACTGAGACCCCCGTGTCTATAAAGAAAAAATTATTCAGGTGTGGTAGCATATGCCTGTAGTCCCAGCTACTCAGGAGACTGAAGTGGGAGAATCACTTGAACCCCGGAGGCTGATGCTGCAGTGAGCCAAGATCATGCCACTGACCTACAGCTTTGGCCACAGAGCAAGACCCTATTTCTGTATAAAGAAAAAAAAGCTACAGTCTTGAAAGAAGTGTTTAAGAATAGATACTAGAAAAATAGGCAACAAATCACAGTGGAAAAGAAGTGCCAACTACCCCATCAGTGAATAGGGAAAGAAAAAGCCACCTGTGATGTCTTGTCTCTGGTTTGAGGGTTAACAATTCTAAAAATTAAGCCACCTGTGAAAAATCAAAACCCCAAAATCTTTTGCCACAACAAAGTATAGAACGCGTGTATGTGTGTGTGTGTGTATGTGTGTGTGCATATATATAAACTATAACACAGGAACTCAAAGCTAAACCATTAAAACTGTTCTAGGACCAGTGAAGCCCTCAGGTAATTGGCAAAAACCAATACAGAACCTCTCTGAAATACTTCTACAACCTAGGCCACAAAAAATTCCACAGAAAAGATAGACTTCAAAGAAGATGAATTAATGAGTCATCTGAGAAAACAAAGCACTGTGTGGTAAAGGTAGTAGATACGACAAACAATTAGCACCCCATCATAAAAATGTGATAAAATACTCTAACAGAAACTATAAAATTAGAATGTTTAAAATGATCAATAGATTTTTTAATAATTATTTTTTAATAAAAATAGTACAGTATGAAAGGACAGGCAAGTTTGAAAAAAATCTAGAAATTGTGAAGTACAGTGTTTGAAATTAAAAACATGACAAAAGAGGGGCTAAAGGTCATAGTGGTTTGAATAAATTTTACATATTCTAATAGATCCAGAAGAAACTGAAAAGGTGTGAGAAAAAACAAACGAATGTCTGATGCTTTTCCAGAATCTCAAGAATCCATTTGTCTTCAGGTTAACAAAAAACGCTGAGTGAATAAATAAAAGCAAATCTACAATTAAAGACATCATAAAAAAAATTGCAAAATGTCAAAGACAAACTCATGACTTAGAAAGGAACATTATACTCAATAATGGATGACAAAAGATATGGGAAAATACTTGCAAAATTTCTACACTAAGCTAAGTTATTAAACAGTTCCGTGACAGTAATATTTTCAAACAAAACAAAAATAGTTCACCATTCAGAGATCTTTGCTTAGCAATCCCCAAATTTTTCATTATGAGGGACCAGTTTCATGGAAGAGAGTTTTTCCATAAATGGGGGAAGGGTGTTCGTTATGAATCTGTTCCACCTCAGATCATCAGACATTAGATTCTCATAAGGAGCATGAAACTTAGATCCCTTGCATGTGCAGTTCACAACAGGGTTCACATTCCTATGAGAATCTAATGCCACCTGACAGGAGGCGGAGCTCAAGTGGTAAAGCTTGACTGCCCTCTGCTGAACTGCTGTGTCCCCAGTTCATAATAGGCCACTGACCAGTTGGCCACTTGGGATTGGGGACACCTGCCTTTGCTGAAAGGAAACTGAACTCAGGAGGAAGTCCAGTTGAATGCAAGCAGCAACAAAATAAATTGGTAGACATGTTAGTAGACCTAAATAAAACATTGCCTGTAAATGGAAAAATACATACTTATTGGTGCAAGGAGTGACTTACCTTAATAAATTTCAGAATAATTTAGCCTTTCTCACTTTTCTTGGGAGCCTACACACATTCTTCTCTCTTGCTCCTTGATACGAATTCATGAAAGAAGACCCCAATGTGACATTAGTATCTATTACTGTAACTAGATAGATAAGTCTACTTAATTCTGGGGTGCAATAATTAACAAGCTCATAGGCACCTAAGACATTTCTCTAATGTTAACGTTAGGTACACAGCTAAGGCTAGTTCTCGGAGAAGCAGCCTCCCTACAAAATCACACCTATAGGTAAAAATAGAGCAGCCTGGAAAACTCAGGCTGCACCTGCACAGATAGGCAGGGTCCAGCACAGGAGCCTTTGTTTCTTTGTGTGATTGGCAGGCTCCCAGGAAAAAGCGTCCTCCCCTTTTCATACATGTACACAGTGGACTCCATGGGAACTTGCCCCGGAAAAAGCAGGGCTTACCTAAATTAAGCACAGAGATATACAAACAAGAGTAGTGGCACTTTGTGTTTGCCTAGAGACACACCCACAACTACATAAGATAAAGGGAGTTGCATAGACAGTTTTACTGATAAATTACTCAAACAGCTACAGAGATAAGAGGAGTTTCTTATAAAAGCTTTTGAATTCAACTGCAAAAACAGCAACCCATTAGGGCTCCCCTCTCCACTGTGGAGAGCTTTCTTCTTTCACTTATTAAACTTTCACTCTA